TGTTAGAATGCAGTATTGCAGACCACTTTTGCCAACTGCCAGGAGTTCAATCCTCACTGGCTCAAGGTTGACTCAGCCTTCCACCCTTCCGAGGTAGGTAAAATGAGGACCCACGTTGGGGGCCTGACACTGTGAAGTGCTTAGAGAGGGCTGCAAAAGCCCTGTGAAGCGGAACGTAAGTCTAAGAGTTGTTGCTATCAATACATTAACTCACCTCTTTCTCTCTGACGGAGTCACAACTGTACAAAAATGTACCAAAACGACAACTGTACAAATGATCCAGGATAGTGATCAAAAACTGTTCGTTAAATTCGAAAGCGGTGGGAAACTAGTAAAAAAAAAAAAAAAAACAGGCAAAGTTTAGGATGATACAAACCGCAATCAGTCCTTGAGTTATGACCACAATCGAGCCTGAGATTTCTGTTGCTAAGCGAAACATTGGCTGAGTGAGGGTTGCCCCACGTTATGATTTTTCTCGCCACTGTTGTTAAACGTAGCTGTTAAGTTAGTCACACGAAACAATTCCACACTGGTCAAAGTAATATTAGAAATACTTATGGGAATATTAGAAATTAAAACTTTGATCGGAGACGTTGGTGACTGGCTGGCATGGACAATTACATTTGCAGGGTCCCGTATGTCTTGCCGTGTGGTGTTGCGTCCACGTACAGTGCTTGGATCCCAGGCCAGCAGACGCACAACGAGTGACTTTAAAATGGACAAAGGAATTATAGCAAAACCAATCTCTATGGAGATCCTCTGCCATCCAGGTCACGGTTTCTTGGTTTTTCTTTGAAGATGTTTCGCTTCTCGCCCAAGAAGCTTCTTCAGCTCTGACTGGATGGTGGGGAAGGATTGATACTCCTTGCAGACACAGCTGGTCATTCGCATCCTTTTAGAGAGTCCTTGAGGCCACTTGGAGGTTTCTCTGTGTCCTCAGGGTCACCTGAGTGGTGCAAATGGGTGTGTGGAGCCTTCTTGGAACTGCTGAAAGGACCGTGTTGTAGACTGGAGGTAGACGATCTCGTATTCCTCCTCCTCTCTTGAGTGGGGGCTGTTCGATTTGGACATAGATGGCCTCTTTGATCCAGACAAACCTCCAAGTGGCCTTAATGACCCTCTGAAAGGATGCAAATGACCAGCTGCCTGCAAGGAGTGTCGATCCTTCCATCCCCCTCTATCCCATCAGAGCTGAAGAAGCTTCTGGGATGAGAAGTGAAACGCCTTCAGAAGAAAAACCATAAAGTACAGTTGCGTCTCAAAAAAAAGCAGCTTTGGGATACAGCAAAGCCCATTAAATCTTGAACCCCCTTTAAGCAACGCAGCTTACTTGCTTGGACATTTGCCAGACGCAGTCGATGAACTGGAGGAAGATGGGGGACCGATCTGCGTCCGCGTGGCTTTTGTCTCCGTGACCGATTCTCTGGAGCGAAAAAAAGGAAAGGAAAAAAAATATGAGAACAGCAGTCATCAAACGGGTCAGCTTGGCTTTAGGAGCAGCAAACTCTCCCACCAGAATGAAGTGAAGAAGAACAAGTAATTCCTTACGCAGAACGAAGTGAAGAAGAAACCTCAGCTTCATTAGACTGAGCTTTCCCCCCCAATATAACAATTCGATTCTAACTAAAGTGGTTTGAAAAGTTATTTATGATGCATGTTGCTTTTGGAAGTTTGTAGTATATGGCAAGAGTCTTAAAATGTAAGTGGCAACAGCACATGTACATCTTTTCAGGCGACAAGGCAACCAGAGGGGAAAAAGGGTCACAAGATTTTATAAAACAAGGATCTCCAAGCTTGGCAATTTTGCGACTTGTGGACTTCAACTCCCAGAATCCCTCAGCCATCATGAGGGGCTGAAGTCCACAAGTCGTAAAGTTGCCATGGTTGGAGACCCCGCTATAAAGTGTCTCTTTGGGGAAACATAAAAGGCCAATGGGGATCATCCGGGTCATGGTTGTCCCAAAGGTGCTTTTTTCAAAAGGCAACCTGGACTTCGTTTTTCCAAAACAAAGTCCAGTTGCTTTTTTAGGGGGGAAAAATAACTTTTGGAAAACAAAGACTGCAAACACAGGAGCATCAGACTTGGTCTGCATCTGTACCCCGCTTTTCAGGTCTCAAATCAAAGTTGGCATTTAACACATTAACAGAGTTGGAAGGGGCCTTGTAGGTCATCTAGTCCAGTGTTTTTCAACCACTGTGCCGCGGCACACTAGTGTGCCGTGACATAGTGTAAGGTGTGCCGTGGGAAAAACACTTTATATATAGTCAATATAGGCACAGAGTTAAATTTTTTTAACCTTTTCTACTGGTGGTGTGCCTCGTGATTTTTTTCATGAAAAAAGTGTGCCTTTGCACAAAAAAGGTTGAAAAACACTGATCTAGTCCAACCCCCACACACCATTTCTGATGTAATGGCCATCTAGTCTCTTCTTGAAAGCTTCCAGTGATGAAGCTCCCACCACTTCCGAAGGCAACTTCTGTACCCCGCTTTTCAGGTCTCAAATCAAAGTTGGCATTTAACACATTAACAGAGTTGGAAGGGGCCTTGTAGGTCATCTAGTCCAGTGTTTTTCAACCACTGTGCCGCGGCACACTAGTGTGCCGTGACATAGTGTAAGGTGTGCCGTGGGAAAAACACTTTATATATAGTCAATATAGGCACAGAGTTAAATTTTTTTAACCTTTTCTACTGGTGGTGTGCCTCGTGATTTTTTTCATGAAAAAAGTGTGCCTTTGCACAAAAAAGGTTGAAAAACACTGATCTAGTCCAACCCCCACACACCATTTCTGATGTAATGGCCATCTAGTCTCTTCTTGAAAGCTTCCAGTGATGAAGCTCCCACCACTTCCGAAGGCAACTTCTGTCCCACGGGCTGATTGCTCTCAATAACTGCATTATCTTCAAACAGTTTTTATTGAATTTATTAATGTTTATTGAATAACTACATTATCAGGCAATTGGCAAGCAGCAGTTTGAGACAAGAGCCTCACTCACAATGAAGCCCACTTTGCTAACAACCTTGTGGGATTCAAGCACAACTGATTTAACCAGGACTCGTTTCGGTTCTCACCGATGCGAACTTATGCCCGAAGCTTATCCACTCCTTTTCCACCAAGACCTCGAAGCCCACGACGGTTCGGTAGTAGCTGTCCAACATCAACATGGCCAGAGAGGTCAGCTGAGCGGTGCGGTCCCACCCGTCGCTGCAATGCACCAAGACCGAACTCTTCCCGGAAGACACTTTGTCAGCCACTTGGATGGCTCCAGTTAAAACCAGCTGGCAAGGAAGCAGAAAACAGGACTTGAGACGGGGTGGGGGGTAAGGCTGTTGTTCTGACTGAGGCTTCCCAAGAAAGCATAAATCACCATCTTAGTCCCCCAAACCTCCTTTTATTTATACAGCTGTGAATGATGGTCATTCACAGTCCGCAAGGCTGCACAAATTCTCCGTGAAGGTTCCGACAGGCGCCTGCTTGAGTTGCCACGGTCTTTCGGGGGAATCTTGAAGAACACCCACCTTTATCTCCCTTGGAACGCTGCCAGAGGCCTCATTGCCAAAGGCAGAGCAAGGCCAAACTTGGCACAGAACATTTCCAAGGTTGAACCGACCAGATGAACGAATTGCTTCCTGCAAAAGCTCCTTTGCTCCTTTTTTATGTCTTATGGGAGGAGCCAATCATCTCCAAGCCTTTCTCCCAGGTCAACACCCTGTTCTCTTAATTGTCCTTGCCTTCTGGCAGCTCTGCGCACGCGCACACTGGGAACAGGCTCCCACTGTTCTTCTGCCCCACTGATGTCTGACTCTGAAGGCAGCTGTTGGCTGGCATAGGGCTCTGGCCCCCTCTCTGCCTCCAACACAGAGCCCTCCAGGACTGGCCCATCTTCCTCCCCAAGCTCCTCACTGTCCAACTCTGCTGCCAGCTCTGGTGGCCGCTGGGGGGGGGGGGGCACAACAACTGTCCCCCCTCTTCTCTTTTAATGCAAGAGCTCGGACCCCCGTCCACATGGTGTCCGGCTGTGGTGGTCAACCCAGCCACCCTCCGCTCTGTACCTTGATATGTTCCAGCCAGTGTGTGGACTCCAAGCTTGACAGCCAATGAGATTCTTCCACGTGGGGGTAGACGATGTCTTTCAGCTTTTTCAACGATTCCCGCATGACGTGAATGTTGTGGATATCCAGGAAAAGCAGTTCGGCATCCGGATACGCGTCTTCACTTTCGTATCCACCACCGGTGGCCTTGGGATCAAAGAGGAAAGGAGTGTTTCATTTCCTTCGCACGACCACCACCGGCATCACATGCTCGCATTTCCCCGAAAATAAGACTTGTATTAATTTTTTGCTCCGAAAGACTCATTAGGTGTCAACTCTGAAGGTGGCCTGACTGAGGCCATTTGGGAGGCATCAGAGGAAGGGGGGGGGGGATAGAGTTAGCCAAAACAAATATAGCTTCTTCTGGGAACCAAGGACATTCCCATAGGTAGCTGAAGAGAGGAGGAGTGAAGTTACCAAGCAACCAGACCGCACCTTGATGGGACCATGTGACTGACTGACTGGGGAAAAGGGGGGGGGCGGACTTTGACTTTTAATTAGGTGGAAACCGTGGGAACCTTCAGTCGGTTTTCACCAGTCTGTGCCAATATGATATCTTCAACAAAACTGTTCTTGGAGGAATCTACCTGCCTCAGAGTTCTGTTGGGCCTTCTCCGGGTGCCGTCAGCAGGACAATGCCGGCTGGCGACGCCTAGGAGTAGGGCCTTCTCTGTTGCTGCTCCGGCCCTGTGGAATGAGCTGCCCTCTGAGATCCGGGCCCTGCCCACTCTCATGGCCTTTCGCAAAGCCATTAAAACCTGGCTTTTCTGGCAGGCCTGGGGCATACTACAAAGAGCCAAGGTGGCGCAGTGGTTAAATGCAGCACTGCAGGCTACTGCTAGATCAGCAGGTCAGCGGTTCAAATCTCACCGGCTCAGGGTTGACTCAGCCTTCCATCCTTCCGAGGTGGGTAAAATGAGGACCCAGATTGTTGGGGGCAATATGCTGACTCTCTGTAAACCGCTTAGAGAGGCCTGAAAGGCCTATGAAGCGGTATATAAGTCTACTGCTATTGCTATTACTGCTATTGTTGACCCCTTGATTGAGGTCCAGCCCCCTCCTGATTGGGTGTTTGTTGTGTTTCCCTTTTTAACCTTGTTGTGTCCAATTGTTTTTAATAATTCTTTTTAATTTTTTTCATTTCTGTAAGCCGCCCGGAGTCCTCCAGGATTGGGCGGCATAGAAATTTAATAAATGAAATGAAATGTTTGCTGTGGGTGGATTACTTGGAACCCTGACATAGAGACTTATTTGCGGAGAAACACGGTACTAAAATGTGTCCGTCTGGCTGACGCTCTTATCTCGGACTTATTTTGGGGGTAGAGCTCATATTACGAGCACCCTGAAAATCCACGCTTATTTTCCAGTGGGGTCTTATTTTCAAGGAAATGTGGGTATTCCCAACACAACTGATGGGTTTGCACCAACACCGAGGAGTTATGTAAAATTACCTTCCTAGCACAAGGGGCGGGGGGAATCACCATTTGGTTCCAAGTCGGATGTAGGTATCATCTTTGAGGGCCCCAATGGATCAATTCGTATGGAAATTGATTTATATTAATAGGGGCCTGGTGTTTTCATATAGGAAGTCCTTGGCTTACAACCATACGTTTAGTGACCGAAGTTGCAGCAGCACCGGAAAAAAGGGGAGCTTGTGACTGGTCCTTGCGCTTATGACTGTGGCATTGCCACTAGTCCTGCCATCGAAATGTGGGTGCTTGTCAATCGGAGTGCATTTATGACGATTACGGCATCTTGGGGTTAAATGGTCACTATTTGTGATCTTCCCAACTGGCTTCTGAGGAGCAAAGTCATCAGGGAAGCTGTATTTGCTTAATGACAGCGTGATCCACTTAACAACAGCTGAGATTTACTTAATAACTAGGACAAAAAAAAGATCATAAAATCGGGTGGATTTCATTTAATAATCACCTTGTTTAGCAACAGAAATTCTGGTCCCAATTGTGAGGACTCTTCGTAGCTATTTGTAGGCCACCCATTTCAGGGACTCTATGACACTTAAAAGGCATCTAAACACCCTATTCAAAAATTCCCCAAAGAGGAAGTTATTGAAAAGCCATTTCCTTCTACCTGACAAAAAGTGACTTTCGAACAGAGCAATGTGTGCGTTGAAACATGATCATTTCTCCAGCGAGTATGGATTTAATCCCAGCCTCAGGCTCCCCGAATCCCACTAGGGAGCCAGGCTCCCCTAATCAAAATATTTTTTTTAAGTTTGAATGTCAATATGGTTATTTTTCTTTGCCAAATAGACTTAACGCATTAAGTAAGCGACATGAACAAAAAAAAATAAAGAGTTTTCTTAACCCTCGTCGCCAATCTAGCTGCTAAAATTGTCCCATGGGGCTGGAGAACACAAAACAGGAAATACACCTCTGTATGAAATCCCCAAAAGCACCAAGCGGTTATTTTCCAAGTAAAACTTCGATCAGCCAAGTTATTTTAGAACTTTGGGCCAGTCCCTCTCTCTCAGCCCATCCACCTCACGGGGATGTTGTTGTGGGGGAAATAAAGAGGAGGAGGAAAGCATATTAGGCATGTTTGCCTTACCTACAAAGGCATAAAGATGGGATTTAAAAAAAATCAAATAAACAAAATTAGGTGAAAGCTTCTCTCTCTCCACAGAATGCAGAACATCTTGTCAGGCCTGGAAGCCACATTCTTTTGCCCTGGGCCTTCAGGCCGGCCACATTTTCTACTGTGGGAAACTGGGAGGGGGGATTATAAGGAGTATGGGAGAGATATAGTCAAAATAGCACTCCTTTCTCAGAGAGTCAAGGACACCTTGCCCTGCACCTGGAGGGGTGTGACTGGGAGGCATCTCCAGTTGGAACGGTGCCTGATCAGGCCATGTGATGGACACGTGGGTGCTGGTCAGGTGCTTGGACTTTCTTTTGGGTGCGGAAAACCTGGAAGCTTTCGGATTCGGGCTTTCCCAGATGTGCCAATATGACGCCTCTAATAAAATGGAACTTTGAGGAACTTCAAGCCTCGGAGTCTTCTTTCATTGGGGGTGTCACTTGGGACCCTGACACATGTGGCCCAGAAGCCGATATATACGCAGCCTCTCTGGAGTAAAGTGAGAGAGTTAATTTTAGCTATGGAAGGGGCTGAGTAATCCTCGGGTGTGGCCGAGAAACAACAAAGCGAAGGGAATGAGGAGGAGGGAAGGAATGCAGCCACTAGACTTTTCATAAACAACTGGAAAAAAATAGTAATCTGTGTCGTCCTCACCCACCCACCCTGCATTTTAGCTTACAAGCATTGAGCTTTGAGGGTTAAGATGACTTTTGAAAGAAAGAAAAAGAAAAGAAAGAAAGCTTATATAAAGAGGTTTGTTTTCTAGGCTGTCTTGGATACATTAAACCAGTGTTTCTCAACCTTGGCCACTTGAAGATGTCCGGACTTCAACTCCCAGAATTCCCCAGCCAGCATTCGCTGGCTGGGGAATTCTGGGAGTTGAAGTCCGGACATCTTCAAGTGGCCAAGGTTGAGAAACACTGTCCTAACCACTGCTGGGGAATTCTGGGAGTTGAAGTCCGGACATCTTCAAGTGGCCAAGGTTGAGAAACACTGTCCTAACCACTGCTGGGGAATTCTGGGAGTTGAAGTCCGGACATCTTCAAGTGGCCAAGGTTGAGAAACACTGTCCTAACCACTGCTGGGGAATTCTGGGAGTTGAAGTCCGGACATCTTCAAGTGGCCAAGGTTGAGAAACACTGTCCTAACCACTGCTGGGGAATTCTGGGAGTTGAAGTCCGGACATCTTCAAGTGGCCAAGGTTGAGAAACACTGTCCTAACCACTGCTGGGGAATTCTGGGAGTTGAAGTCCGGACATCTTCAAGTGGCCAAGGTTGAGAAACACTGCATTAAACAATGCACATGGAGCACATATGCACACCCGAATAGACACTTTAAGTCAAATTTTCTCCTATTCCTTGCGAATGGGCAGAAACAGGTTTGCTTCAAAAGTCTACCTCTTTACAGAATGAATATGATCACTGTTTTTATCCTCCGTGAAGCTGCAAAGTTTTTTTTTTTTTAATAAAGCCAGCATTTAGCAATGGGGAGGGAGCCGCGCTGGCTAATTAATCGGAGGATGATTTTTTTCCAGTGACTTTATTGAAAGTTTAGTCACTTGGAATTTACTGTGAGTGTAAACAAGGTGGAGCCATTTCAACTCTAGGGGAAGAAAATAGTAAGCCTCATAGCTCGTCCTTTGACGAATGCACTTTAAATCTCGTCAGCAGGAAGTCCCGTTCTTCCCACAGCCCAGCGGATTGTGTGGCTGTGTCGACACGATAGCAACTGGGTTAACCGCGAACGCTCGACTGTCTGTCAAACGCCCAGAAAGCGTTTTGAAGCCTTAGCCATTCCTTCAGTTAGCGCTTTCCAAATCTGGGAATCTCTGGATGTATTTAAAAAGGACAATTTTTCAGAACGCTGAGCCAGCAGAGGCTTTGACTCAGCGTGGCTGGCAATCTCCGGAGGAGTAAAACCTCACTTAAGCGACGTCCCTGGGCAGGCGGGTGAAGAGGGAGGCTGGGTACCTTGTTAGCCACAGCATTGACGTTGGGCCTGGCATCGAAGATGGTCAGTTTGGACAGCTGCTTGTTGGTTTCCCGTATGACTTCCAGGTATCTTTCGTCGTCTTTGTTCCTTTTGCCCCCCATGCCCACCAGGGGCTGGCTGGAGCGCGTGATGACCGCTTGGGTCTCCGGATGGATCCAGGACAACACCTGAGGGAGCCATGAGAAGATATTCCATCAGAGCTCTAAGGCTTTTTTAAAAAAGTTATCTATATATTTCTCTTTCACATAAAAAAGGTAAAGGTTCCCCTCGCACTTATGTGCTAGTCGTTCCTGACTCTGGCCCATCAGTCTGGAGTGCTGTAGGGTTTCCTTCCTGAGCAGAGGGTTGGACTAGAAGACCTCCAAGGTCCCTTCCAACTTTGTTCTATTCTATTCTATTTCTTTTCTATTTCTTTTCTATTCAATTTATTTTCTATTCTGTTCCTTTTCTGTTCTATTTCTTTTCTATTCTATTTCTCTTCTCTTCTATTTCTTTTCTATTCCCTTTTCTATTCTATTTCTTTTCTACTCCATTTCTTTTCTATTCTATTTCTTTTCTACTCCATTTTTCTATTCTATTTCTTTTCTATTCCATTTCTTTTCTATTTCTTTTCTATTCCATTTCTTTTCTTTTCGATTTCTTTTCTATTCTATTTCTACTCTAAATAAAAAAACCCCACACCCTATATTTTGGGCCGAATTACAGTCGTTAAGTCGAGACTAATTTTTTTTAGAGCCAAAGTCACTTACCGGTATCCGGCACCGGGATCGGAAAGCAGAGACCTTCTTGAGATCTTCGTCTGTGGCGTGATAGGGCACCACCAGGAGGGATGGGTATGTGTCGCAGAGGGCATAGTGCTCGTTGAGGAAGGTTACCCTCCACTGGAGGTTGGGCAAACCCTTTTGAGAGAAGGGAGACGGTCGTTGCCTGAACAAGATGGCAATTAAGCAGAGGAACGATTTGTGCGTTATTATGGCCACAGGGTGGCAACAGGCCACCAATCTATCCATTGAGTATCTCTACGGTTGGGGAGCCGGAGAAACACATGGAAGGTTTGAGACAAAAATGCCAGCGGGTTTTTTCCCTCGCTCTTTTTATTAATGTTATTATGAGCCCACTTGGCAACACAAGGATGTTTTGCTTATTAGAAGGACTGGAATATACACAGGAGCGTCTGACGTTCATTCTTTGGGGGGGGGGGATGAATTGCATTCTTCTACAGGGGAAAAATATTTTTTTAAGACTTGCCCAAAAGAAAGCTAACAATAGCCATGGGAAGTAACTAAGGGGAAGCACCTCGTGTCAGGTTCCAAGTGACACTCCCAGCGAAAGAAAACTCCGAGGGTTGAGGTTCCTCAAAGTTCCATTTGATTAAAGGTATAAGTTCCCCTCGCACGTATGTGCCAGTTGTTCCTGACTCTAGGGGGCGGTGCTCGTCATCTCCGTTTCAAAGCCAACGCTGTCCGAAGACGTCTCTGTGGTCACGTGGCCGGCATGACTCAATGCCGAAGGTGCACGGAACGCTGTGACCTTCCCACCAAAGGTGGCTCCTATTTTTCTATTTGCATTTTTTACCTGCGTTCGAACTGCTAGCTTGGCAGAAGCTGGGACAATAACAGGAGCTCACTCTGTTACACTGCACTAGGGATTTGAACCGCCGAACTGCCAACCTTTCTGATTGACAAGCTCAGTGTCTTAGCCACTTTTATTAGAGATGCCATGTTGACTCTACTACATGCGTAGGAAGCCAGGTGATCTGAATAGACGAGAACTGCCGAATTCACTGTCATTTGCATAAGTTTTAAGAAGGTTCCAGCGTTTCTCCTCCCTTTGGACCCCCCTTCGTTGGCCAATCGATGAGCCCATTTGCGTTTCAGGGAAGGTCTGCCAGTTTCCAGTTTAAAGGAACTCAAAATTTCTCCTACGCTGGCCTGCAACTCCCAGGTTCCCTCACCATCCATTATGCTGGCGGGAATTATAGCTCAGCAACATCTGGCAGGCCAATATCCTCCTTTTGTGATTTAAATATTTATTACACATTTAAGAATAAACGACATTGAAGAAGCTTCCGTGCTCAGACAGTAAAGCGAATTGCACAAGACAAGATGACCTTATAGGTCTCCAGGCAAACTTATGTTCTTAAGTTTCTCCTTCCTACCAAATGGGATGAATAAAAGGAGAGACACCCATCTCTTTATAAGAATTGCTTGGCAGAGTGAGATCGGCAGAATATAAATTTAATGAACAAATAATCCAGCATATCCGCCGATCTGAATTCTTGGTTTTTCTTCAAGCCTAAATCAAATTCTTTATTCACTAAAACACAATAAAAGGTTTTTTAAAAAGTACAATGTAATACAGAACATCAGTACTTTATTTTATAAAAATCCGTTCCAGGTCATTTATCCATCTAACTTCACTAGCCTAGGGTTCTGAGCGAGGCTTCCAGAGAACCTGAAGCAAACTCCTTGTCCCTTTTATTAATTGACTGAATTCTGCCCATTCGCAGCCAGCAGTGTCTTTCAAGGGAGGATTTACAGTCACAGACCTTATCTGGCTGGGAGAACTGCCAGGCCGAGATCTGCAAAATGTGGGAAGGAGTCTCAGAGAGTCACGAACCAATGAAGTGAACTCCTGCAAACTCCACTCCCCTTTCACTCCTCTTTTATTTCCTCTGGGAGGGGCCATTCATGAGTCAGCCCTTGTTCCTTAACTGTTCCCTTCCTATGCGCACACTGGGAACAGGCTTCAGCTGCTTTTCTGCCCCACTGATGTCTGACTCTGAAGGCAGATGATAACCGGCATACGGCCCTGGGTCCCTCTCTGCCTCCGACACAGAGCCCTCATCAGAGCCTCCCCCAGACTCCAGGACTGTTCCATGTTCCTCCCCAACCTCTGAATTTGCTGCCAGCTCGGCTGGCCGCTGGCGGGCTACAACACCTAGCTCATGTCTTAAAAACGAAAATTAGTGTGCTTCCTATTTTCTGTTCATCCGGTTCAATTTGTCCACAGAACAGAAAGAAAAGTATATACAGCAAACCTGAAAAACAAGAGTGGAGGAATGCAAAGGAGAAGAGAAAAAACGAACTTACTTGTCTTCTGTATTCAACCATAGGATTATAAACCAGCCAGCCGCTTTCCACAAACTTCTCTTCGTTCAGAAAGGCAAAGAAAGGCTGAGAGGATAACGAGAAAAATCAGGAAGTGGAACCGCCAAAAGAAGAAAAGAGATTCAAGGTGCCAAACTCTTTGCCTGGGCTGGTGAAGAAGATGCTTGGCTTCCCAAGAGCATGAAGCAAACTCCTTCTCCTGACAAAACCTCCTTTTATTAATTTAGAGAGAATTCTGCTTTCACATCCAGCAAAGTCTTTCGAGGGAGGATTTATAGTCACAGACCTTATCCGGCTTGGAGAGTTACCAGGCCGATATCTGCAAAACTTGGCAAGGAGACTTGGAGAGTCACGAACCAACTAAGCAAATTAATTGTCTCCTGCAAACTCCACTCCCCTTTCGCTCCTCTTTTATTTCCTCTGGGAGGGGCCATTCATTGTCCACCTGTGGCCTTACTCCCAAGTCGACCCCTGTTCTTTAGCTGTTCCCTTCTCCTGGCAACTCTGCGCATGCGCACACTGGGAACAGGCTCCAGCTGTTCTTCTGCCCCACTGATCTCTGACTCTGAAGGCAGCTGTTGGCTGGCATAGGGCCCTGGCCCCCTCTCTGCCTCCGACACAGAGCCCTCCTCAGAGCCTCCCCCAGACTCCAGGACTGGCCCAGGTTCCTCCCCAACCTCCTCACTGTCCGAATCTGCTGCCAGCTCTGCTGGCCGCTGGCAGGCCACAACAGAACGCCCCAAAACATTGACAGAAGCCAAAATGTAAAACACATTACATCCTTTATGAAGAGAAGTCACCCCCCCACCCCCCTCCAGTAATAGGCCTGGACTCAACCATTAACTTTGAACTAGTAGGCACCCTAATGAATCCGGGAAAAATACCATATTCCCTTTATCTGTCATAAGTATCTTTGCCATTTCTAAATGTTTTTAGTTGTCCACACAGCAGGCAGCAAAGTTAAAGTGTGAAACAACCGGTTCCAAAATTTGCTTTTTATATGCTGTAGGCAAAAAAAGAAACCCAGAACCACTGCCAAAGAAACTCAGAAGCGCTTACCAAGTTATGCGACTGTGGAAAAGCGTATTTTGTCAGGAGCTCAAATATGTCTCTTCTACTGTGACCTTCTTGTTTCAAAGCGAAGCGTAAATTCCTCATATCCTACGATTTAAAGCAAACCACGCATTAAAAAAAATAAAGAATGCCAAGGATTAATGTTAGGTAACTTGTTCTAGCAGTTTTCCAAACGGAAAGGTAAGGTTTTATGTCAGAGAGGGGCAACGTAGCCCCTTTTCCATTTGATCTACTCGTCTAACCTCAGACTTTGGTCCCACCATTTAATTCTCTTTTTAAAAGTGTTGTGGTGGCCTAGAGGTGGAGTTCTTGCCTCACAATCAGGAGCTGTGAGTTCGATCCTAGGTAGAGGCAGATATTTCTCTCTGGGCCAATGTGAATGTTTTTTTCTGAATAAAATTCCACATTGGTGACAGGAAGGGCATCAGTCTTACCTTACACGTGATGTCTAATCCATACGAATTCTCTCCTCGGCTTGAAGCGCCCCCCATTTTCTCAATCCTTGCAATAACCCCCAAAGGCACATCCAACACCACTGTCGGATCCTGAGCAGGCGAAAAAAAAAGGCAAAGTTCACATTAAAGCAATGGATTCCTAACAGACTGCACTTCCGTACCTGTGTTTGTCATAAAAGACTCTCTTATCTTGAAAGCTAACAAAGGTTATCAATTTAATGGGATGGACGCTGTCGGGTTAAGAAAAACAAAAACAAAACAGCCATAATGGGCCAATGAGGCAAGAAGCATAAGTATAAAATAACCATCAGCACAAAGCATTTAATAAACATTTACCTAATTGCTACCTGCTGCAAGGATAAAAATCCCAGGATATTTCAAGAGACCTGAGCTTTAAAACATTTAAATGCTGCCCTGTATCTTGGCCCAGCACTCTTGTCATCAAAGGAGAATAGAAGAAGGGAAACGGAGGAAGTTCTTGACTAAGGACTAATTGGGGACTGTTGGAAGTTACAACGGAGCTTCCCAGGGCTACTTACAACCCCGATCCAAAATTCTGACAACTGTCAATCTGGCAGTCCCATGATATCATGTAGGGTGCTTGGCAACCATGTATATTCAGCTCTGGGAGTTGAAGTCCACAAGTCTTAAAGTTGCCAAGTTTGGGCAGCCCTGAGGGACGTGATTTACGATTTTTGCTAGAAATTGGCACTTCCTGGCAAAAAAAAAAGCCTTGGTGAATTGGTTCGTGTAACAACTGCGGTGTTTACTTAACGGCCGCAGAGTTTCCTTTACGATCACTGCAAAAAAGGACCTTAAAATTGGGCAGGGTCACGTGATGGCCTGCTTAATGATCGGAACAACTGACCGGTGTGCTCAATTACGGTTGTAAGAAGAGCTGTACAGCTTTCAGAAGTCAAGAAAGAAAAAAAGAGGGTGAATGAGTGTCCCTTGGGCCGGGCAATAAATTGAGACTATTCCCTTCTTTCTTCTGGTAGGAAACTGCACAGCCACAGGTGACTCAGCGCTTGGGAGATAGCATCAGGCTAAAAGGCTGCCCTCCAGAGCCCTTAATCTCTCCTGGAATCCCGATGCACTTGTGGGCAAGTCGAAACGCAAAGCCTAAAACCCTGGACTGAAAGGAAGAATTCAGCCTAAAAGCATCTGCTCCGTGTCTTAAGAGAGCCTCGTTTTCCATTCGGAAAAGAAGAAAACAAGCCATCAACTCATACTCCGTTCAGATCACTGAAGGGGGACAGAATAACAAAACAACCGAGTTGGAAGGGACCTTGGAGGTCTTCTAGTCCAACCCTCTGCTTAAGCAGGAGACTTTGCAATTTCAGACAATTGGCTGCCCAATCTTAAAAACCTCCAGCGTTGAAGCACCCTCAACTTCAAGTGGCAAGTTGTTCCACTGGTTAATTGTTCTAACTGTCAGGAAATTTCTCCTTAGTTCTAAGTTGCTTCTCTCCTTGATTAGTTTCCATCTGTTGCTTCTTGTCCTGTTCTCAGGTGCTTTGGAGAATAGTTTGACTTCCTCTTCTTTATACGGAGTTGGGTGATATGTAGCCATAACAAAATTCCTTCTAGAAATCCAAGGTCATCCTTTGTCTCTGCACCTGACCGGAACTGGATGGGTGGAACTGCCAGTGTGGCAGTGGGAGATTGGACCATGGGATGGACTGGTGGATGTGGGGGCAAGATCTTGAACCTTCAACTGGGTGGGGGAAACCGGGAAGCCTTCAGATTCAGGTTTTCCCAGATGTGCCAATGTGGCTCTCTTAATAAATTGGAACTTTGAGGAATCCTTTGCTTCGGACTCGGATTTACTTTTACTACTTATCCAAGCAGTTGACTCCAAACACCACAACAGACCGTAGAGTTTGCTTACCGATTCCACGCTTCTCAAGTAGATCCTGTAGTTTGTGATGTAGACCCTCCCTTTCACAGGGCCATTGAAAGGACACATGTAAATGACCTCCTTGTCTGTGGAGAAAAGAGAACCCCCGTATTTAAAAGGTAAGGAAGACCACAACTCCAGATAAAGAAAGAAACTAAGGCAGAGATTAATGGGGAAGTGATATGAACGATTATGAATGGGGGATGTTGTGTTGTGCAATGGTGTATAACTCAGATAACCTTTTTACATGCAAGCTTTTTAGAACAGTACCACCAAATTTCTCATTGTTATTCAAGTATGGTAGAACATTCCGAATTTACTGTCAAATTCTAAAAATTTACGGATCTCTAGAAAGTATTTGAATGAATGAACGAACTGGAAGGGACCTTGGAGGTCTTCTAGTCCAGCCCCTTGCTCAAGCAGGAGAACCTGTGCTGCTTATTAGCAGACAATGGATGGAAATGCTCAAATGCTGCTGTGGTGGTTAAAACGAAAGTAAAAGCTGCAAAATTATCTCTGAATTGTATGGAGAAGACATAGGTTTAGTTATTTCTGTATCCCTGGTCAAATGAATGGGATTTTGTGCGAGTCTGAGAAAAGCATCACCTCCTTTTGATTACACAGCAAAGAATCGACCAGGTGAGCCAGTTTTGAAACGGATCCCTTCCAACCCAGATTGACTCTGCGGATGCTCCAGAAACACCACAAAGGCTGAATCTAACTGGATTCTTATTTCTGAGATAGACCCGAATGCTGTAATATTCAAGCATGTTATCCTTGGACAGCTTCATTCTTTCTGAACAAGGGACGGGTTTGGGAGCAACTGATTTACAAGTAGCCCTCGACTTACGACCAGAATTTCCGTTGCTAATCAAGGCAGCTGTTAAGTAAGTCGAGCCCATTCTTATGACCTTATTGTTTGGGTTGTTAAGCAAAATGGCCCAGTTGTTCAGCAATGCACGAGGTTGTTAAGTGACTCCTGCTCAGCTCATTGCTGTGATAAGAACAGACGTTCAATGAATGGTTGTAAGTTGAGAACCACCTGTAGGCACTCTGGGACCTGTGTTTACCTGTAACTCTCGTTTCCCCTGGCAGACGAGGAATTTCTTCGTTGTGTTCCCAGTTGGTTCCATCTTTCGCGGGCTAAGAGGGAGAAATGACAAGATCAGACTTTTGTCCTGTGGGAAAGATCCTGAAGGTGTAAACCAAAGACAGCATTTCATGATTAAATATCTGACTTAAAAGAAGCCCAGGGAAGACACTCACTTTTTTAATGGAGGCGTTCTCCAAGGAGTTTGAGTTGCATCGAGGCGTTGAGGAAGAGGAGGCCATGCTGGAGAATGGCGGGGAAGAACTGCTGAGAGTGAGAGAGAGAGAGAGAGAAAGAAAGAGAAAGAGAAAGAGAGAGAAAGAAATGTTCAATTTTCGTTGGACTTCACACACCAGCAATTTTATATAGGGATTTCCTTTTGCAATATTTTCTAGGTGGGTGGAGGGCTCACAAAAAAGTTGCCACTTTATCTCCTAAATATATTATATATCTTTCTGCTGCTAAAAGTTACTGGGAAAATGAAACTTTTAGTTGCAATAATGATGTTACTCAGGCCAGTGCAAAAAAAACAACACAAAATGTAAGCTCAGCAAGTTGCTATTAGGAGAAAGAGGGTTAAAAATACAGAAATTTTACACTGGTGTAAAGATACCAGAAAGAAATCTGTTGTCAGAACCAAATTATTTCCGCAAAGAAAAATAGAATAGAACTGGAAGGGACCTTGGAGGCCTTCAGCCCCCTGCTCAACCAGGAGAACTTATACTATCTCAGACCAGAGGCTCTTCTTAAAAGCCTCCAGTGATGGAGCTCCCACCATTTCTGAAAGGAAGCTGTTCCTCTGGTTTTATTCAGTGCTCCCTGGAAAAAAAAAAGAGGAGGTGGGGAGAAATAGAAACTACAGGACTGAATTGGGATGCTGAGCTGTGCAAATGCGATGCCGTTTATGGCTGATGGCTTGAGCGAAGGGTCATTTCTCTCCCTGCCTACAAAGGCCCAAACAGTCGTAAGTAGAGAACTCTCTGTATTGTATTCGATGCCCGACAGCAGCTGAGCATCAGAATATGCCCGGGGTAGAGAAAAACCCTCTTAGCGTTAACACATCGTGTGGGACACGGTGATGATCCCAAATGGATGCAGAAGGAACTTGTGGAGTCTGACAAGGGAGTTGCAAGCATTGCAAACATAAGGCAGTGCATTAATTCAGGGAAAGAAAGAAAAAAAAAATGAGGATGCTGTCAAAATGTTCTAGAATACAAAGCAGCCAGCCCATCACGCAGATAGAAAATTGCGTTGACACTCATGACAAAAAATAAGTAACAATTGTGTACAACGAGACCCTCTTGGCCAGATCTTCACCTGAGTGCTGGCCCATCTTTTTAGGATGAGTACGACAATCCTCCCTGGGATGGTCAACCAGGAGCCAAACAACTTTGAGGCACAGAATCAAGGGGGTTATGCCACCTGTCAGGAATGGCTCCAACCTCTAACTTTCCATGTGAAGATCTTAGGGAGAAAATTATCACAAGGCAGAGATATCTAAGAGCCCAAAGCAGGTAGACAGAGGGCACTAGACACTAGACACTATGGCAATCAAGGTCATAAAATGGGGCAAAACTCACTTAATAACAGAAATGCTGGGCTCCATTGTAAACTCAAAGACTACCTATATCCCTATTTGTAGACGCAAAGCAAAGTCCTCTTCTAAGAGGTTTCTGGCTCCAGAGAAACAAATGCTGGGTTCGAAGATTTGTCTATAATTGCAGCCTATATTAAGCCTATGTGGACTGAGATCAGCAATGACTCCAAGTTAATTATAGTAAGGAGGCTAAACGGCTGCAGGCCGCCTTGTCTGGAAGCCACGAGGATACTACAGCCATGTCAAATTAAATAAATGGAGTCGCAAAAGGGTGCTGTTACTGCATGCTTTTCCCACACAAATTTTGCAGGAGCTCCTGACTTCAGTGGCTAAAAAGCAAGGCTCAAACCCACAGTGGTCTTGCTTTCCGGGAATCCGAGCATTTGTGCTGCAAGAGAAATGGCACTGATTAAAGACTGTCCGATAAAAAGGGGAAGGAAAACCTTTACACGCCCAGAAAATGTTCTCTTTCGAAGAGAAAACGAAGAAGTGTGTGTCTGTGGGTGGGTGTGTAGTTTTCACTGAGACCCACTGTTTAAAACAAAACGGGACTTTTCTGCCCAGGGCAGTCCTAAAAAAGCCAGCGCTCAAAACCATCCCAGCAGAAGCTGAAAGTAAATAACAAATTAGAAAATCCCTTTTCTGATTTTGAGAATTGCAGCCCCAAAACTGCCAATAAATAAAATAAGTGAGTGAGCCTTTTAGCAACTCCGAGGGAGGGCTTGTCTCTTCCTACAGTCTCCGCCAGTTGCTTAAAACACAGCTATGTTTTTCTCCATGCCATGTTTTTTCTTTGAGGATATCAAGTTACCTCCCCCAAGAAACAAAACATTGTGGAGTAAAAACAGAAGGAACTGAACTTACGATACCAGCCTGCATAACAATAATTATGTCTTAGTAAACTTACTCTGAAAAAGTCGAAGAAATAACTCGCTTTGGCTTGGCTTGCAGTTGTGCGGACTACAGTGTCACTGTAACAACTACTTGGAAAGATGGCCCTGCAGGAGGACGGACGGACGGACACACACATACATGCACACACACACTTGGAATCTAGATCTGGGTATCTCCTTGGTTGCAGAATTTCCGAGAGAATATAAATGCTACAGGAATATAATAGGGTGTATTAATTCTAGATTAATTAATAGGCTGTATTAATTCTAGAATCAATTCTAGATTAATTCTACACTGATTTCATTATAAATACACAAGAAAGCAAACAAACCAAGAACACTGTGCCTCATTTTAACACCGCAGCATCCGTAAGAACAGGCGTTCACTCCCTCCACACAGCTTCATTTCCAGTGTGCTGAATCACTCAGGAACACAATCTCACAGTGCTGCTCTCCATCATTTCCCCAAGGGAGCCCAAATGTGCAAAATGATCCAACACACCCACACTGTGGGTCAAGGCCATTCAAGTTTTCCGGTCATCTTCCCCCTCCTTTGTGGGGTGGGGAGAAGGGGAAAGTCACAGAAATTTCCAAGCCGTGGAAAAACATACCTATTTAGGCACAGAGATGGAAGAGATAGCAATAATTCCTAACCCAGAACAAATAGAATTCTTTTTAAAGATTCAAAAGAGAAAAGAGAATAAAGAGCTTTTTTAAAAAGGAGGGGGAAACTGTGGATGGGTGTTCTAGAGATTCAACAGCAAGGGACAGATGCTGTGGCAGTGGAAATATTTCGATTAAATAAACATGACAAAAGAAGTTATCAAATACCAGAGGAGAAGCAGGACAGATTCACCAAAGTCAATAAGAGTTGAAATTCTAAAAAGGGCGAGAGATGATGGATAGGCATAGAATTCTTTTTAGCATGGTGGTTATTTTAATAAGTGTTAGGAAAAAGAATTAGAAAGTAGAAACTCAGGGAATAGTATTATGTATACTGAAATATAATAACATATAATTACTAGGTATACCCAAATGTTAGTTGAAAAAGTATGATGATGTATTTTTAAACGATAATATCACTATCAGAATTGTATGCAAAAAATATTGACCCAGATAATACACTGTTCACTAAGCACTTACGGAGGTTAAACAAAAAATGCACACACAGACACACGGTGGCTCAGTGGCTAAGATGCTGAGCTTGTTGATCAGAAAGGTCGGCAGTTTGAATCCCTAGCACCGCGTAATGGAGGGAGCTCCTGTTACTTGCCCCAGCTTCTGCCAACCTAGTAGTTTGAAAGCAGGTAAAAAATGCAAGTAGAAAAATAGGGACCAGCTTTGGTGGGAAGGGAACAGTGTTCCGTGTGCCTTCGCCGTAGAGTCATGCCGGCCACATGACCACGGAGACGTCTTCGGACAGAAGGAGTGAGGAGGAAGAAACAAAGGCATATGGATGCTATCAATACCCTCTCCAAGACTCATGAAAATAGACAAGAAAAACAACCTGCAAAAGTCAAAATTCTCTATCACAGGGAGGCAAGCCCCCAAACCCAACCGAACCAGAGAGCAGAGAAGAAATTCTACATATGGGGTGGATCCCGACGAGTCGATAGGAGATCCAGTCATGTCAAAGAAACATCGCCTGGATCCAGCCCAATGGTTACAAAGTTCACGGTGGCTATTTACCAATCAGATCGCAACAACTTGCCTCTAGAAGTTGTGGGGGCTCCAACCCTGGAGGATTTTGAGAAGAGATTGGACAACTATTTGTCTAAAATGGTATAAGGTCTCCTGCCTGGGCAGAGGGGTGGAATGGAAGACCTCCAAGGTCCCTTCCAACTCTGTTATTCTGCCCAACTGAGCACCTTTACTCGATTAGAGAAAAAGGAACACACGTGAAGCAACTCTTGTGTGCTCTGAGATGGAGAAATGCGGATTAAGGTTACCCACAAGGGGAGAAATGAGAGCCAAGGAAAGAAGCAGAGCCTGCTGGGGGAGGGCATGAGGGAGGGGCTGGTCCCGGGTAAGGCAGCCCAGCCTTTACTGGACTAGGAGCCTCGGCGGGGGGGGGGGGGGGGGATCTGCAAAGCATGACATGGCTTTATGGTATGGGACTCTCCCACGGGATTAGCTGTGTTGATGTTTCCATGGTTTTCCCAAGTTTTATTTTTAGTTGTTCTGTTTGCTTGTACCCTGCCCAGACTCACCCTTGGAAGACCTGTGGTTGTATAGATGGGACAGATAGAGAAGAGGTAGATAAATAAGATAGATAAGGAAGGGGGAGGAAGGGGAGGTGGATGAGAGATAGGAGATAGATAGATAGAGATGGATGGATGGATGACAGCTGATAGATATTAGATATATACAGATAGATATTATAGAGATATTTATTATAGAGATATATTATATAGATATAGAGATGAATGGATGGATGACAGCTAATAGATATTAGACACATAAAGATAGATATTATAGATATTTATTATAGATATATTATATAGAGATAGAGATGGATGGATGACAGCTAATCGATATTAGATACATACAGATAGATATTATAGAGATATTTATTATAGAGATATATTATATAGATATTATAGAGATATTATATAGATAGATATTATAGAGATATAGAGATATATTATATAGATAGATATTAGATAGATATAGAGATATATTATATAGATAGATATTAGATAGATATTATAGAGATAGATAGAGATGGATGGATGGATGATAGGTGATAGATATTATAGAGATAGATAG